TTCCGGGACAAATGGGTAAGAACGTGAAGACAAATAAAACAAAGCATATGAAAAGGAGAAACAGCTAGAAGCGTTCCTCACAAGACCAAAAAGATGGAAGTTGTATCTTAGAGCATTAAACACTCCCCGGATATACTGTCGAGAAAAATCTTAGATACGTTTCATGACGAGGAAAAGACGCAAAAGAAGTTACTGTAAGTTGCGAAATAAGATTCATTTCCACAACGTAACGTGACAGTCTAATATTCTGAATTAAGTAAATATAAAATATATACATATATATATATATATATATATATATATATATATATATATATATATATATATATATATATATATGTGTGTGTGTGTGTGTGTGTGTAAAAATATATAGAAAATAGGAAAGAACTCGTTAGGTAAATAATCCAAATTCTTTAGTATTTTTTGTTATTTTTTAAAAACAGTGCTCGATACAAAAAAGTAGAGCCTAAATATAATTATTTATTTAATAATTCAAATAATTTTATTGAAGTTTTCGGCTGTTATGTAAAGCGATGGAATCATATTTTTAAAAATAATTCTTTTTTATCGCTGCCACCGTATTAATATTTTTTCACGCGTTTTACAGTTTAAGCTACCAGTGACAGTATTTAACACCCACGAGTCTCAGAACAACCCCACACTGTTAGGGTCGTCAAAGTCCTAACCCATATGGTAGTGATTGTCAATTTAGTCTAGTATAACAATGGATTTCAAAAATAATTCTAATATTTGGCTGTATTGTCCGGTTTCATGAACCGTCCTGGGTAAGATCATAAACTACATCCGATAGCAAGGCCTCTGATCAGGAGGTTTTGAGGAGCGTGGAACCACCTCTTCATTGCTGGTGTTCCCAGGTGCCTCCTGAGCCTGTTAGGCTCCCAGCTATGGGCAATTAGTTAACACCGAAACTGAGGTAAAAAGCCTTATGAATGTGTAAAAATAGGTTTTAATAGCAGAAATAATTTGTAAAAATTATTACCAGAAATAAATTTTGAATGGAATAAAAACTATTAGCAGCAATATATTTTTGAAAAAAAAAAATACTACCAGTAAAACATTTTAAAAATAATATTAACATCTATTTTACATTTATGAGGAAAAAATATTACCAGAAATAAATTTTTGGAAGGTCAAAATCTGCAAACAGGAAAAAAGTTGTCAGCATTAAATAAACCCATTGAGGTTGATATGCCGTAAAACAAAAACAATCCAAAACAAACTGATTTCCCTTACAAAGAATAAATATTTATTCATACGAACCTATCCTAAAACTCTTGACGGCATTAAATAACCCAATGAGGTTGATATGCGTAAAACAAAACAATCCAAAAGCAAACTGATTTCTTAAAAAGAATACATATTCTATTCATATGACAGAATTATAAAACTCTTGACGGCATTAAATAACCCATTGAGGTTGATATAGTTTAAAACAAAAACAACTGGAAGCAAACTGACATCAGACAAATGGATTCTCTTCATACAAACCTATCCTTCTAACTCTTGACGATTAAATAATCCATTGAGCTGATATAGCCGTAAAACAAAACCCCGTCCAAAGGTGGAACTGATTTATTCAAAGAATACATATTCTATTCATATGAACCTATCCTAACTATTGACGGCATTAAATAACCCATTGAGGTTGATATGCCGTAAATGAAAAAATCCAAAGAAACTGATTTCTGATAGAAAGAAAAAATAATCAATAATAAAAATAAAGGCAGTAAATACAAACAACATTTACATTTAGTAGATTCTGTAGTAAATCAAAACAGAAGCCAAGAACCAACTATTGCAGCAAAAGATATGAAAAAGAAAGCCAAGGATAAAGCCCTTGAACAGATGAAACAACGCTGGCAAGACAAACCTCTGCATGGCCAATATCCAGAACGTGCAAATAAACCCAATGTTGATAAAGTTAATACTCATCGATGGTTACGAGCATCTGGATTAAAGTCTGAAACTGAAGGCTTTATTCTTGCAGCGCAAGACCAGAGTCTTTTCACTAGGAATTTTCAGGCAAATATCATACATAATAATGTGGATCCAAAATGCAGGTTCTGTGACAAATACCAAGAAACAATAGACCATCTAATCTCAGGATGTTCTATACTTGCCCCAAATGAATATAAAAATCGTCACGATAGAGTGGGGCAATACTTACACTGGACAATGTGCAAACACTTTGGAAAATGTGTAAGCAAACACTGGTATGAACATCGGCCAGCGTCGGTTACAGAAATAGAAGATGTCACCATTCTATGGGATTATACCATCCACACAGACAGAAAAATTGAAGCAAATAGGCCGGACATTATTGTCAAAAACCAGAAAGAAAAAACTTGCCTACTAATTGATATGGCTTGTCCAGCGGATTGTAACATAGCAACCAAGGAATTTGAAAAACTATCAAAATACAAAGACCTGGAAATTGAAATAGAAAAAAATGTGGAAATTGAAAACAAGAATAATACCAGTGGTAATAGGTGCACTTGGAATTATAAAAAATGGAACAAAACAACACATTGAAAGAATCCCTGAAACCCCAGCTTAAGAGACATACAGAAAATTGTCTTATTAAGTACAGCACACACACTAAGGAGAACTTTGTCTATGTAACGCTAGCAACTTCATCGGAGATAAAAAAAAAAAAAAAAAAATTAACATGAAATGTATTAACAACACACCACGACCTGCCTTAGGTCTTTCCGCAGACTTGGTAGGTAGTGTGTCCATAACAGAAATCGAATGATGATGATGATGACAATAATAATAATAATAATAATTGAAAATAATATTTGTCCTACGGACAATGTCACTCGTCGCATTTATCTTCTATGGGCCTCATTTCTATATTATCGACAACCGGATGTCGTTCTCCTAGAAATTTCCTATGAACCAAAGATTACCATCATCAGCCGGATATTATTCATTTTGGAAAGACAGCATCTTCATTTCAAAGCCGCCAAATTTCCAATAATACTAATCATTCCAAATTAACCGAGGAAATTATCATTGTTCCTTGTTTCCGTTTCGATTCTTTTTTTTCTTGTTGCCTGCGATAATTTTAATAGAATAAATGCAAAAATCGAACATTTATAAATAAATGAATTCCAGTTATCGATCTGACGAACTCGTTTTAGATTCTTTGAATTTTTTGAGATTTCGAGATATCCGTTTCATCTAATATTTATTCTTTTACTTTGATTCAGTTTTGTTCATACGGTCTCCGCATATATATATATATATATATATATATATATCGAATTTTATGGTTTTCTCATAGAATTGTTGAGTATTGCGCTCAAAATTGGCTATAAACCGCCCATCCAAGTTTCACAATTATTCAACACGTTACTTGAAAATTGGTTAAGACAATAAATAATGAAAGAGACAGACCATGACGTTTTTTTTTAACCAAAATGTTGTTTGGATAAATTCTTTCTGCCTAAACATGATATAATATAATATAATATAATATAATTTTATATATATATATATATATATATATATATATATATATATATATATTGGGAAAAAATCTATGACAAAGTGGAAAAAATTTTTCTTGCTGCATTTTAGTCCCCTCGGACTTCATCGGACTAAATTTGTTACGTTGGTGCAACTACTCTTGCCACAGCCTCATCAAGAGAACATTTTACGCTTTGTTATACCCCCCGTTGATATAAAATCGTTATCTCAAATCTATATTGCATATAAATATATATATATATATATATATATATATGTGTGTGTGTGTGTGTGTGCGTGTGTGTGTGTATGTCTCTGGTGTGTGAAGAGAGAGATTGAAGAGAGAGGGATGACAAATACAGACAGACAGACAGATGAATAGATGAATGAACGAGATGAGATAGAGAAGAGAGAGAGAGAGAGAGAGAAAAAAGAAATACCGACTGGTATATAAACCATGTGACTGACAATATATGTGAACAACTCTGGAGAGTTACAAAGTATGCGTGTTGTGTGTGTAAAGTGAAAGAGAGGGGGAGAGAGAGAGAGAGAGATGTCGAAAGTTTAAAAATACAGGATATATATATATATATATATATATATATATATATATATATATATATGCGTGCGTATGTGTGTGAAGAGAGAGAGAGATAGAGAAGCATGCAGAAAGGCAGAGTCAGAGATAGATAGATAGATAAATAGATAGATAGATAGATAGATAGAACGCGAGAAAATGTAATGGTATATATATACCATATGACTAACAATATATATATATATATATATATATATATATGTGTGTGTGTGTGTGTGTCTGTGTGTGAACAACCTTGAGAGTGACAAAATAAGTGTGTGTGTAAAAAAGTAGAGAGAAGAAGATAGATATAGATAGATAGATAAATGTCGACAGTGTATAAATATATATATATATATATATATATATATATATATATATAAAAGACATTTTATTTTATACATTCTTTTATAATACAAATATTGGAAGTAAATGTTTACATTTGGATACACATGAGCAGATATGAATGTACGTGGAGAGAATCATGAAAGATTGTAGTTTAAAGACAGTAAATTCGAACTTGCTAACCGAACGCTCCTCTGTGGCCCAATCTGTTAAAGGCGTCATATGACGGTTCGTATAGGATACAGGTTCGATTCCTGTCGGAGGACGAATATTTTCTATGAAAATTTCTCGGACATTCAGGCTGGTAAATTTTGTTAATACTGTTTATTATAAACAGAAATTTGCTGAAATATTTGTATCTATAAAAGAATGCATAAACATAAAAAAAGTCTTAAAATAATTGTCGGAATTTGTCCATTTCATAATGTATATATATATATATATATATATATATATATATATATATATATATATATATATATATATGCGTGTGTGAGAAAAAAAAGAGAGAGAGATGCAGAAAGGCAGACATAGATAGATAAAAGGAGAGAGAGAAAAAGATAGAGAGAGAACCAGTTAATATTCAACTAACTAGATAGATAGATAGATAGATAGATAGATAGATAGATAGATGACAATTAATTTTAATACAGGTTAACACTGCATAGTCACTGGCAGATTCGGAGCGTTTTTTAAAAAATATATTCTAAGATAACACACATAGATAAAAGCTCTTCGTAATGTGTAACCTGTAATGTTTTAGTGGAATCTTTTGTATTTTTTTTAGATATAGGCTTCAGAAATTCCTTTAGTGAGTCTATCAGAACCTTTTCAATCAGTCTCAATGTTCCAACTACAAATGGAATTATTGATGTTCTTATGTGCCACATTTTTAAGATTTCCTCTTTAAGATCTTGTATTTTGATAGTTTTTTCTCAAGATCTTCAAAGATACATTACAATCTGTATGAAATAAATTGATTAAAACATCGTCCTTGAAAGATGAGCTCTTCTGGAAAAATTCTTATAAAATAACAACAAAATTCAGATATTATTAATGAAAACAAATAACCACGTGTTTTAAATATTATTGGCTAATCTTAAATACGACTGTCAGTCAAAAAGTAACACCTATTCTAAACTATTCAGAATTACCTCTTATTTTATTTTTTTTATAAAGCCATAAGCCATGAGATGTCTTGAACCTCAGATCTGTGGAAAAATTCTCTTTTAAATAGTGTGAATCCTCTTTTTTATAAAGGTCATGCAATCCTTTTTAACAAGATACCATGTCTTAACCTGCCATGATTTAAAATTAAACTCATGATTTATTCCTTGTTTGAATTGCTTTTTAATTTGCAGATGTATATTTACAACCTTAAATAAAGCTTTTATTATTAGCCGTAACTAATCATAGAGCACTTTCTCTCGTTTTTACATTTCAATCATAATGACTATTTTGGAAAGTATTTTTTCATTTCTAATCAATTCCCATCTGCTTTATAAATATATATATATATATATATATATATATATATATATATTATATATTTATATATATATTGCTTAAAAACAAACAAAAATCTGAATATGCAATTATTATTAATGTTAATATAAAGTATTCGACGTTTCGGTCTATTTAAGACCATCTTGATGGACATTTTCATTTAAACATAATTAACATTAGAACTTATAAAATTTAACACAAAAGACGATGGACATAAGAGCCCAACCAATCCAAACAGATAATCAATTTTATACAAGATCAGCGTTCCGTTTTAATATGATCACGTAGTCGATGCTGTTAAAACGTATTCGAAGATGATTTCAAATATTAAAATATTAAAAATCGATTGAAAATTTTTGTATAAACAGTTCATATTTCTTCCGTTATTTCGGAATACGTTGTGATCAATAGGTTCTTATATCTTCAACAAGCTTGAAGTCCTTCCCGTTACAAAGCAAATCAAAAATGATTTCAAAAACGATGGAACAGTTCTAAAAAACAGTTCGATAATATCCTTTCCTATTGATCAATATATCTTATATTCTCGTCCAAGCTATATAATATAAATTCATATATATATTTACAGTATATATAATAAAACTGGATATAGATCCGACAGTATGAAAAAATACATAAAAACAAACAAAAATCTGAATATGCAATTATGTAGTATTAATGTTAATATAAAGTCGACGTCGGACGTTTCGGTCTATTTAAGACCATCTTCATGGACATTTTCATTTAAACATAATTAACATTAGAACTTATAAAAATTTAACACAAAAAGACGATGGACATAAGAGCCCAACTAATCCAAACAGATAACTGAAATTTTATACAGATCAGCGTTCCGTTTAAATATGATCACGTATATATTTGATGTTCTAGTTTCTATAAAAGTTTCAAAGTACCAGCTATTAGAAGAAAATTTTAATATTGTATGTTGTTTTAACTCCTAAGACACCTGTCTGGCCCAAAACTGCGCATTAAAAAAAATTTAACCGCCCATGGGTTAATATGTGTATGCATTTCTATGTAAGAAGCATTTGAAGACTAATAAGAATTGTTGCCGAGATAAGACCTAACTTTTGGAGCTTATTTAAAACCAGAAGTTATTTTTAGATTTTAGGAATTTTGGGGAGATAATAATGAATTCTTACTAATTAACCCATAGCTTATTGAGAGGAAGACGTGGATTCATGCCTTTTCCCGCGTAACTGGAATTGAAACTCGAGTCTCGAATTACAATTCTGTGTCGTTATCCATTACACTAGTCGCACATCAAAGCATACAGCACCTGTTATTTTATTTCCAAGCGGTCACCCTTCAAAATACTGACCGGGCTCGATGTTTAACTCAACTTCGGTGGTCGTACAATGTTTCAACGTGATGTGGCTGTAAACCCCTCGCAGTATTTACACCCTGTATTATACATCATCTTAGTGTTGTGTCCCTTCAGGACTTAGATGAAGATGGCTCTCCACGTTCTTATCCTTTGTCGCTCTTAACTACATTTTGTCATTTTACTATGCCCCGTTTACTTGTCTTGTCAGGGAAGCTGGACGTGGCATAATGGTTAGCGACCTTGTCTCGCTAGAATAATTACAAGTGAATTTCATCCTCACTGGGTGTCCCATACTTTCTGCCTTGCGTCACGTCTAAGCAACGCTTAGAAAATCAACATTTCCTGTCCTGTCATCCATTTGCACAAACTCGGTAAATAGGATACGAGATGTCTCTACCTGTTCTTGTTACCTTCAGCGTGTCAAATTCACCAAACCTTTTTCTCCATTATTTGCCACTAGCAGTATAACCCGCCTTCTACTGGGATTTTTTTCCGTTCAATTGGAGCAGTTTAAGTTTAAAGTTAGCCCACCCGAAAATCAATATTATTAACAACAATTTGATGCAACTGAGGCACATCCCCAAATGGGGGGTTAACAATTTGAATGGGCGGGGGGAAGGCCCTGAAAAGGGCCTTTTGAGTTCTCAATCTTGCAAGAAATGAACCTCTTCCATGGACCGTCATAATAATAATATACGATTAATTTTTTTTTTGTAATATATTTTTTTATACTTCTAAAAAACTTTTACGTTAGATTTCAACTCTCTAAAATGATTGTACGCTGTATTTTTACAGACATTAAATTTTGCCTTTGATTTTTGCGCAAAGTGTAAATAAACAGATTTTCGATTTTCACCTTCAAGGGTGTAATTTTTCCAGCCAGTTTGAACTCAAAACCGGCACTGAAGAATTATCTATCAAAAAAAAAAAAAAAATTCATCGAAAGCAGATGAAAACTGTGGAAACGCATAAACAACATCCGATCACACACATACATACACACATATTTTGAGAATTATAGATATAGATATATGTTTGTTGGCCTTCTTGTCATAGTAGAAATTTAGTGATTATATAAATCTTATTAACAGCAACAGACTTCGAGTCGAGTTTATTGATCAAATTTAGGAGAAGTCTTCTTTGTGAATATTTTTGCTTTAACTGGCGTGGATATCGAACCTAAGACACAAGCGAATCATTCCGTGGCAGCAAAGTTTCTCACCGACATCTGAATGTAGGCACCCAAGGCAGCAACTAAAATTCTAAATCGTAGGAAAAAGCAATCTCCGTTGTTTCTACGTCAGATGTTATAAGTTTGTTTAAAAATATACCAAGTATTAGAAATACTGATTTATATTAGGCATTATGATTCATAAAATGTCTACTCCCAGGATTAGACTCTGCACTGAGATTATTTTTTTAACTAAATAAATCCTGAGTAATTCAGCTACATTATTCCTGTTACGTTGTACTAAACTAAAACGTATATTTTCGGTGTATACTTCGGATAAATTTGCTTGAACATTCTGCATTTAATATAGATAACTTAGTGCGTGAATCATATTTTCAGCACGGGGATTTCATACCGTAAAGGAAATATACAGGTCTTTTATTTATATCAAGCTGAATTTTGTGAAATAGCCAAGTTAAAGAGAGAAACTTTTATGATATTAACAGTTTTCGGAAAATATGCTCTTATTTTAGATTTGAATTTCAGCTACTGAGATTTTATTTTTATTTTAGTGTAGTTCAGGTTTATACATATATGTATACATGAACTTAGTGTATAGGGGTAGCAGATTATCTTTCAAACATATATTGTTGAATATAACAGATAACGAATGTATATTAGGTTGGTGCAAAATAATGACGCAATAATGTCGTTTTTTTGACGTATTTTAACGTCGAAAACGTCATTATTTTTTACCAACCTAATATGTTTGATCATCAGTTTCATGTAGTGGCTTTTAGTTATGGAGAAAATAATGACAAAACTGTCCAAAATTTGGATATTTTTATTATGCTGTACATCGATCTAAGCTTTCGACTCGCCTGAGCCACCATCAGAATGGTTACAGTTATTTTCCAAGCGTAGCTTAGATGTGGCACAAGGCCGAAAGTATCGGGCATCCAGTGAGTATCGAACTCACTACTTAGTCACAAGCTCGCTAACCATTACACCGCCTCGAGGTACCCAGAGTGGTTATATGGACATTACAACAGAGATGTTCACCATCAAAGATGGCATCCTGTTGTGTTTGTATAGAAGTTTGTTATGCAGTGATAACGGTCGTAAAATAGTAGACGCAGGTCGTAAATTCGTAATGCGGTTCCGTGACGTCGTCCATGACCACGTGAGAGCAAGAAAAGTTATCAACAGAACCATGTGTCTAATGAATCAATGAGAATACAAGATAGTAAATATATAAAACAACTTGGAAAATTTCTACTTCGACATATAAACAAGGCGTAACAAAAATAAATATTTGGCAAAACAAAAAATCTACCTTAGCGATACAATATGTGATTCACGGTAAACAGACGTTGTTTAAATGCATCGTTATAGAAATTAATTTTAATTTATTTCAGATCAGTTTTAATTTATTTATTTATTTTAATTTTGTTTCGTTTTTTTTCAAGCTATACGTATCCACATTGTTTCAGTATTAATAAGCAAAATCATTAAAATTCATAAAATTCTTTCTCTGATAATGCCGAGCATCATCAAGATACATTTACCAATCATTCAATTTTCATCAAAATTTAAATTACATATATATATATATATATATATATATATATATATATA